CGGCGGCAGGCCGTCCGCCGGACTGCCCTGCAGCGCGAGGACCTCGGGCCCGACGATCGGCCCGCCGCGGTTGGTGACGTACGGCACCATGTTCGGCGTGAGGCAAGGGCAGACGCCCGGCCGCGACGACGCCGTGGACCGGTCGACATTCTGCGACAGGTTCCAGACGAGCGTCTTGTAGTTTGCGTCCTGCCCCTCGCGCGCGAGGCGGAGGTAGTTGATGTCGCAGAGGTCGACCACGCGCTCGACCTGGCTCTTGAACCTGTTCACACCGGGGGGGCTGTGAAGAGGCAGCTCGTCTCGCCCGGAAGCACTCTCCGCCCGAAGGCACCAGTCGTGCCACGCAAAGTCGGGGCCGGCGCAGTGGCCCTGCGACACCCACTGCGTGAGGGGGCGCTTGGCGCCGAGCTCCTCGTCGGTGCGCGCGCGTTGGTGGCGCGTCTCGCAGCGGCCCCAGTCGACCACGCCTCGCTGCTTGGTCGGGTCGATGTGGGAGAGGTCCTCGCGCGCGGTGTGGACGCGCGGGTCGTCGGTCGGGAGCAGGAAGGCCTCGAGCGAGGAGGAGGCGGGGCAGGACAGCTCGCTGATGGCAGCCTCCCAGCGCGCGAGCTCCTGCGGGGCGTGTCGTGGACGTGTCGCGGACGTGTCGCGGACATCTGATGCCCCGCCGCCTCCCAGCGAGCGAGCGCCTCCTCGCCGACGACGCCGCTCTCGCCCGCGCCGCCCGCCTCGCCCATCGGCGCGTCGCCGAGCGCGGCCGCGCGCCGGTTGGGCGCGTGCGTGTCGAGCGCGAGGAGGTAGATGCGCGTGCGCGTGTGCGGGATGTAGTGGTTCTTCGTGTCCACGCGCAGGAAGGTCGCCGCGTACCCCTCCTTGGCGTAGTAGCCGACCATCTCCTCCCACGGCGCGCTGCACACGTTCTCCTGCACCACGATGGAGGGCCGCGTCCGCTTGACCCACGCGAGCATGCCCCAGAAGGTCTGGCCCGACTCGCCCTTCTCGTCGATCTTCTTCTGCTTGTTGTTCATCGTCGAGTAGTCGACGCACGACGTGCCGGCGATCAGCACGTCCACCTCGCCCGGCACCTGTTCACAGCAGTAGGTGTGAAGAGACGCTGTTCACACCTCCATGTCTGTCCACCTCGCCCGGCACCGGCCGCGTCGCGCCGTACGCTGTCGTCGCCTCCTCGTCGCCGAGCTCGCGGATGTCGCGGAAGAGGAGGGGCGGCGCGAAGTTGCGCTCGATGTAGGCCTGCTTGAAGGGCTCGATCTCGCACGAGAAGACGTGCTCCACCGCGATCGACTGCCCGCTCTGCGCCTTGAGCGCGCCGCAGATCATGTCGAGCGCGAGCAGCGGCGACTCGGTCCCGGAGCACATCGTTGCGACTCGGAGAGGCCTGAGCCGAGGGCGAGGAGAAGGGGTCGGGGAAGGGTAGGAGAAGGGTCGGAGAAGGGTCGGAGAAGGGTCGGAGAAGGGTCGGAGAAGGGTCGGAGAAGGGCTGCACGCGGGAGAGCAACGCGAGGCGACCCCTCGGCCAAGCCTCGCCTCCCCCTCGGGCAGATCTCGGCTCGACCCCGGCTCGATCTCGGCTCGACCTCGGCTCGATCTCGGCTAGACCTCGGCTCGATCTCGCCTGCCCGCCAGCTCGCGCGCAAGCCCCTCGAGCGAGCGGCCCTCGAGGGCGGCCCCCTTGCACGCCTGCTGCGCCTCGGTCCGCGTCACCATGTCGTCGAACATCTGCTGCGGCTTGACCAGCACCGGAAGGGCCTTTGGGGGGGGGGGGGGGGAGGGGGGCCTCCAGGGCGGTCAGAAAGGCCGGTCCAGGGAGGGTGCCGGGGAAAGGTTCCGGGGAAAGGGGGAAAGGTTGACCGGCCGGTGTTGGGGGGGGAGGGGGCGGGGGGAGGGAGGGACGCAGGGGCGGGGGGGGGAGGGGTTCAGGAGGTGAGGTGGAGGTGTGTGCACGGGCGGGGTGGTCGAAGGCGGGAGGCTGCGCCTCGATCTCCTCGGCGCTCCACCTCTTCTTTGCGAGCGGCTTGTACCCGCTCCCGAGCGCGGCCCGCTTCTTCGGCTTGAGCCGCGGCTTCGCCTCGAAGACGGCGTCGCTGTCCTCCTCCTCCTCGTCGTCGTCATCGCCCCCCTCCGTCGCCGGCAGCTTCTTGGCCTGGCGCGCGGGCGCCTACAGACATGCTCCCGAAGACATGTCGTGGACACGTCCCGGCATCGTGGGGGCCAGGCGCGGGCGCCTTCTTGGCGGCGGGCGGCTTGGCGGCGGCGGGCTTGGGCTTGGCGGCGGGCTTGGCGGCGGGCTTCTTCTTGGGCGGCCCCTTCTTCTTCTTCGGCGCCTGGCAAGGCGGCGCGAGTTTGGTGCGAGCTCTGATGTGCCCCCCACCTCTCCCCCCCCTCTGCGGCCCGCCTCCTCGGACTCGGACTCGGACTCGGACTGGGGAGAGTCGGAGGCGGAGGCGGACTCGTCATCCTCGCTCTCCTCCTCCTCGCTCTCCTCCTCCTCGCTCTCCTCCTCCTCCTCCTCGGAGCTCACCGGCGCCGCCCGCCGCCCTCGCGCCGCCCGGCCGCCGACGCGCGGCTTCTCTTCAAAGTCGTCGCTCGAGACGTCCGCAGCGCCGCCCTTGCGGCCAGAGGCAGCGGCGCCGGCCGCGCCCTGCGCACAGAGAGGGAGAGGACGCGCCCTGGTGAGTGGGCAAGGCCGCGCGTGCGACGCGGCGCGCAGCGTCTCGCTGCTTTGTCGCCTGCGCTGCGGGCGACGGCGCCGCCTTGTCGACGCGCCGCTTCTTGCTCGCGGTGCCGAGGGTCTTGGAGCTGCTCTCCGCCTGCGCGGAGGGGAAGCGCGGGGTGCGGAGCGGACAGCACGCCGCGCCGCGACTCGAATGGGGTGGAGCGCGCCTTGCCCTTTGTGTCGGCTGCGACGGGCGGGCTCTTTGCCCGCGCCTTTGCCTGCTTGGCGACCTCGACCATATCCTCGACCTTCTTGCGCGAGTACAGGCCGGGCTCCCTGCGCGGCGCGCGCGGGGCGGGTCGCGCCGCGCGCCGAGCGCGCGAAGGCGCTGCGGTGAAGCTAGGGCGCTCGGCGACTCGCGCTCGCAGTGGCGGGCAGCGCGCACCCGTCGGACCACTCGACGACATACTGTCCGTCCTCGAGCTCGGTGACGCGACCATACTGCTCGCCGGAAGTGTAGACCTGGCAGACCTCCGCGCGGAGCAGAGGGTCCGCGGGCATTTTTGATGACTTGGCACCAACGACTTCGCTCGTCGCGGTAACTCGCTCAATTCCCGCGCCCAAAAGGGAAACAAGAATCTTACAAGAATTTTACACTTACGCCGCCCTCGGCACGCGACTGGCGCGCACTGGCACTAACACAGGTACACCATTCGAAAGAAGAATTCGATGTACGCCACTTCCTTTCCTTGAAATATCCCACTGTGTAGTGCGGTGCCCCGAGCGGCGCGGCGAGGTGTGCGCGTCCGCTGGCCCCTCCTAATTTTCTGTTTTCCTTTCCGACGCCCGAGGGACGGACGCCCGCTATACGCGCTAGGATTCCTAAACATGTAATTGGGGAGACGGCTAACGTAGCAGCCACCACACTCTCCAATGTGCAATGTGTGGTGGCGTGCCGTTCCCATCGTGGTCCCCCAAGTCTTCCCGACCTAACCCTAACGCTACCGCCCCCTCCCGCCGCCGCTCCCCCGGCTCGGCCGCCCCGCTCCCGGCCGCCCCGCGCCTCCCCCCTGCTCGCTCTCGTACGCCAGGTCGGCGCGGGCGGCGAGGAGCGCCTCGCTCGCGGCGTACAGCTCGAGGGCGCGCCCCATCCACCTCCGCCCCTCCTCCTCCGTCTCCGCTACCTCGCTCGCCGCCGAGCACCCCTCCGCCAGCGCGGCCAGCACCTTGAGGTTGGCGGGCGGCGTCTGGCCCCGCCGCCGCGCCTCCGAAAAGACGCGGAACGCGCCCTCTGGCCGCCCCGCCCGCAAGTAGTGCCGGATGAGCGAGTTGCGGGTCAGCGCGTCGACCTCGAGGCTGCCGCCGCCCTCTCCTCCTCCCCTTTCGCCTCCGCCCTCCCCCTCCCCGCCGCCCCCTCCCCCGGCCGCCGCCTCGTACAGGTCGAGCGCCGTGTGGATGGCGCCTCCTCGCTCGCACGCGTCGAGCAGCAGCTTGACGGTCACCTAGTGAGGAGGCAAGCCGGCCCGTCACCCGCCAGCAACTAGGCGGGCGAGGAGCGGCTTTGCGCGTGGCCGAGTCTGGCAGCGGCCCGCCCGGCGAGCGGCACGCCTGGCGGGGGCATGTCGCGGACGTGTCGGGGACATGCACATGCACAGGACATGTCGAGGCCGAGCTAGCCCTTGGCCCGCCTCGTACTGCCGCACCGCCTCCGCCGCGTCGCCAACCTCGCGGCAGCCGAGCAGCATCGCGTTGACTCGCTCGGTGTAGAGGGGGACGCCCGCCTCGTCCGCCCGCCGCTGCAGCGCCGCGAGCGTCGCGAGGTCTCCGCGCCGCGCAAAGGCGTTCATCAGCGCGGTGAGGGCGGGGCGGGCCTGCGGTGCGTGTCGTGGACGTGTCGTGGACGCGCCCTCCGACACGGTGCCTCGGCGAGGGTCGTGCCGCGCCTGGCCGCGGCCGGGGGAGGCGAGGTCGGAGGCGAGGTGCCGCTCGAAGGCCTGCGGAGAGAGAGAGAGAGAGAGAGAGAGAAGAGGGTCGTCGCTCGCTCAGTCCCCCGGCGAGGTCGGGCGGGGGAAGCGCTGCTGCAGGGCCTGCAGCGCCCGCTCCGGCTCGGAGGCACGCGCGCAGGCAGCCACGTAGAAGCGAGCCACCTGGAGAGAGATGGGCCGAGGTTGCGCGAGGCTGCGCGAGATCACGCCCGGTGGCAGCCGGCCACGCCTTTGGAGAGAGAGGCGTGCCCGCGGAGGCGGCGGCGGCGCACGCGCCCTCGTACGCGGCGCGCGCGTCGTCGAAGCGGCCGGCGTTGGCCGCCGCCTACTCTGGTTCCATAGCGGCTCATCTCGGGTCGGCCTCGGAGCGGCCCTGCGCTTGCCGCCGCCTGCAGCAGCACGCAGAGCTGCCACTCGCAGAGGGGGTCGTCCTCGCCCGCCGCCCTCATGTCCGCCTCGATCCGGCCTGCGGTCAGGGGCCAGGGGTTCAGGGTCAGGGGCCAGGGTCGGGGGTCAGCCTCGCGCGCCGCCTCGATCCGGCGCCTGCGCGAGCGGCCAGCGGCGCGACGCCAATCGAGCCGACGGCGTGGAGAAAGGCGGTGTACTCGGGCTTGGCGAGGGAGGCCGAGCCCGCCGCATCGAGCCGGGTGTACAGCCGCCACGCCAGGTCGCTCTGCTTGTTCTGCGGGCCGCGGGCAGGGGAGTTCGGTGCGGGCAGGGGAGGGTTGAGAGCTGGAAGGCACGGCTGGGCGGGTGGCGGGAGCGGCGGAGCCGAGCGGTCGCGGAGCGGTGCGAGCGGATTTGGAGCGGGAGGTGCGGCGGCTGGCAAGGCGGCGACGCATCCGGCGGGGCCGCCGCTCGAACGGGCGGCAGGGACGAGGCGGTGGCTGTGCATGCACCTCTGCGAGCCGCTCGAGGCAGTCGGCCAGCCCGGTCCGGGCGGCGGGCGAGGCGGGCGACGAGGCGAGGCGCTGCAGCACGCGCACAGCCTCGTCGTTCGTTACGGGAGGGCGGCTGCGGCGGCGAGTGGCGAGCGAGCGGGACAAGCAGGGAGGCGCAGCGAAGCGTGTGGCGCGAGGCAGCGTGAGCAACATGGAAATTCCACACGTTGGTTTGTTATCTGAGAGCGCCTTCGTTGTTAAGGTGGCAGTCCGGGTTCTGTGAAGAGGGTCGCTCGTCGAATGCGAGCCAGTTCGCTCGCGACGCCGACGCCGACGCCGCCGCCGGAACGACCGCGGCGGCCGGTCGAGCGGCCGCCCCGTTTCGGAGGCCGACGGCTCCGAAAGAGCCTCCCGAGCGAGGCCGGCGCGGTCACGCGGTCTCTCTTTCGCTACGTGTTCGACGTCGTCGAACAACGTTCGACCATGGCACTGTTCACAGCGCGCGCGGACGGCCGTTCTGCGAGTCCCGCTCCGCTGGACTTTTGTAAAGCACGCTTGTGGCAAGTTACAGACGCTAGTATCGACCTCAGGGACCCAAACATGAATTAATAATTAAGGCTCAAAGTATGGTCGAACAACCGTCGAACAAACAGGTCGAACAACGAAAAGAGACTAGTGCGACCGCTAGACGGCGGTCTCCGCCGGCCCCAAGGCTGCCCAGCCCCAGTACCACACCGGCCACGTACACCGTGGCGCTGGAGTCGGTCAGTGAGGCACTAGACGGGCTACGGAACCATGCGCGCGCCGGCCGGACAGGCTGCGCGCAGGGGCCGCGCCGCCTCGATTTCGCACCTCCGCTCCGCGGCCGGCTGAGGGGCTAGCTCGCCCGGCGACAAGCCCAGCCATCGCCCAGCGCCCCGTATCGACGGGGGGCACGCAAAAAGACCGCACCTACGACTAGGGTGAGCACGTGAGGGCGTCGGTGTGGGCCGCGGGCGGGCTGCCAGGAGGGCGCGGGTGGGAGCATGGGAGATGCACCACCGCTCGACGAAGACGCGCCCGACGAAGCCCTGCTAGCGGAGGATGGTCGGTCCTCACCTACTAGCGTCGGGCGTGTGCGAAAAAGAGCGCAAATCGGAGCTCAACTCGCGCGCGGCTGGGAAAGGGGTGTGGCACCCCTCCGAAGGCGCCTCGCGAGGAGCAGCTGCTGCCTCCAAACGCGCTCGGGCAGCACGTCGGCGCGCCTGCGGGGTGGGTAGAGGTGAAACTATGCTTGCTGACACGCGCATCCCGCACCACCCCCACGTCCGCGCGCACCATGCCGCCATCCCACCTCACAGCCAAGCGCCATCGCCGTCGGACGCGGCGACGCCGAGCGGTGGCCTCGCAGACGACGAGCGCGATGAGGCCGCCGCGCCGCCGGGGTGGCCGGCGCGTGCCAGCCGCTGGCCCGTCCAGCGTGGCGGGACCGGCTCGCCCATCCTGGCCCGCGCGCTTGCCGACGCGAGAAGATCGCGCGAGAGGGCAAAATGTGGCAAAAATGGCCCTGTTTGCAAACCTTCACGGCGACTTCACGTCGGAACGAGTCGGATCGACGACTCGCCGCCTGCACCAGCGTGTGCGCCTTGCAATTCTATACAGAATCGATACTTGGTACGTCTTCTCAATCGCTCGTGGAGAGGATCTACGGCCATTCTCCACTTGTGTTCGACGATGTCGAACAATGTTCGACATCGTCGAACACGATCGAGTAACCGCACGGTACCATGGAGGCCACAGACGTCGCCGGAGCGGCACTCCCGGGGCGCCACTCCCTCACCCGGTCAGGGGGGGCCAACCACAGCCCGCCTCACCGTCCGTGGAGCTTCCGTGGTCCGCCGCTTCGGCTTCGATTTTCGACCCTCCCGAGGCTGCTAGAGCAGCCCCGCGGAGCCTCCCGGATGCATCGGCACACCGTCGTCCAGAACGCCGGCGCACGCGCTGCCCAGTGACTGGGCGGGTCGGCCCCGACTAGGGGCGGGCCCAGCCGCGCGGAGAAGACCATCCCACTCGCGGTTCGTCGCACCGTCCGCTCCGGTTTTCGTCTCGAGCGGGTCGTGAGACGGCCGCGAGAGCGAGCACCGCGGTCACGGTACCGTGGAGGCCACAGACGTCGCCGGAGCGGCACTCCCGGGGCGCCACTCCCTCACCCGGTCAGGGGGGACCAACCACAGCCCGCCTCACCGTCCGTGGAGCTTCCGTGGTCCGCCGCTCCGGCTTCGATTTTCGACCCTCCCGAGGCTGCTAGAGCAGCCCCGCGGAGCCTCCCGGATGCATCGGCACACCGTCGTCCAGAACGCCGGCGCACGCGCTGCCCAGTGACTGGGCGGGTCGGCCCCGACTAGGGGCGGGCCCAGCCGCGCGGAGAAGGCCAGCGAGCTCGAAACACGTCGCCGCGGCCGGCCGTTTCGCAAGCCTGAGCGGGTCGCCAGACACCCGCGAGAGCCAGCAGCTAGAGCGCCGTCGTAGCCGCAGATCGAGTCGAGGAGCTTGATGTCCACGGTAGCAGTTGTGGAGAGCGGTGGCACGGTGCGTGTAGACGCGTCGATTGAGGGCTACCTTTCGAAACGCGACGGGTACGGCATGACAACTGCCAGTACAGTTTTACGCCGGCCAGCGTGAGAGCACAACAGAGAGCCGGCGACCCGTACGCTTTGCGCGTGGCGACTGGTGGCTGTCTGGAGCTCGTGTGAGCTGGGCCGACGCGTGGCCGAGCCGAGAGGACCAGCGAGCGACCACGTTGGCGATGAAGCTTGGCGGCCGGCGCCTCGTCGCCAGACGTCACAGCGGCGTGGACGTAGGAGTGTGCGGCGACGGTTACCGGCAAATCCGGCCCAGTGTGGCCGGCAGCTGCCTAGCGCTGGCCTGTGGCCGGCGCCGCGGTGGCGGATAAGGCGTCTCGCCGCCGTGGCGGCGGTCGGCAGGTGCGAGCGTGATGCCATCTTGCGAGACGACACCCGTCTCGCAAAACCCGGACTGCCACCTTAATGTCCAAACCCAATGGTCCATTGCGAGCGGTCCTTCGTTGCTGTTTTTCTTGCACTTGTGCAAGATTGGGCGTCTTCTGCCGCAGTCCCTTTGATTGTAGGTATATTGTTGGCAAATCAAGACACAGAGCTCACACAGACAGAATCACAGCGGGAGGAAAGCGGCGAGTCGCAATTCCAGGGGTCGTTGTGGCGGGCCACCCTGTCCAGAGAGGCATGGATGCCAATCTGGGGTCTCTCGACTGAGTCTATGAAGCCCTGGCCGCCTCCCGGTGGTGGTGAAGGTTGAATAACCAAGCGACGGAGATGGTGCGGGGGTACGGGCGTGGGGTGAAATTCTGAAAAACGTGCAGCACTTCTAGCCGACATCGACAAAAGTCACTCTCTAGCCCCGCGGCGAGCGGCCCCGCCGGAGGCGAAGAAAATTTTGCCATCTAGCGCACTCTAACACACATTTTTGCACAAATCGACGCCTCCAAAATAAGTCTTCACTGCAGCACGCCCTCGAGCGAGTAATTAATGCGTCTGTAGGCCAATATAGAGCTTCTCGCGCGCGCTCCTCAGCTGGCGGTCCGCAGGGCCGCCCGGGCGAGAAGCGCAAGCCCGCCAGCCGCACCATGTGATTCACGATGATGAGCGTCTCGGCCTCGAGCAGCGTGTAGGAGCGAAGCTTGCCCTTCCTTCCCCTCCCCCCCAGCAGTGAATGATAGACGCCCAGCCCCCCTTTCGACCGTGCGCGCCCTCTGCGGAATCATCCTGATGGGGCAGTCCTGACGCAAACTTGAGAGTCCTGACAAGCAAACTTGAGAGTCCTGACAGAAACTTGAGAGTCCTGACAGAAACTTAGAGTCCTGACAGACAAAAGAAATCACGCTCACTCTCGCGCCACTCGGCCGACCATGAAAAGCGCACAAGCAAGAGAGGCGCGGCCATTGAGGCAACGTTACAGCCGGCAACGTGCATAGGCAGCAAAGCTCGGCCACGACGTCCATGGCCCGCGCGCCCCCGATTTGCCACCGGCGGCCAGCAAGCCAGCGCCGAGCAGCGCGGACGGCTGACTGACTGCTGACCGAGGCAGCGCCCACGGCAGCGCCCACGGCAGCGCCCACGGCAGCACCCACGGCAGCGCCCACAGCAGCACCCACGGCAGCACCCACGGCAGCGCACACGGCTTGGCTGGCCATGTCAGCCGCGCAGGGACCCTCCCGCGGGTCCAACCCGAAGCGCTCGACCGCTCGACAGCGCAAGTCGGCTGACGGAGCGAGCCGCATAGCCCTCCAGTGCTCACCGCAGGATCAGGCCTGACCGGCCCACGCTCACGGCCTGGCCTGCCTGTGGACCAGCAAACTCGTTGGCTGTACGCGAGGAAAGAGCTGCGTGGCTGGGTCGATACCGTCCCCGTGCGCCCTTTCCCTCAGTGGAGGGCCGTCCCTGCCCTCGGGAGTAACTCGACTGTACACCCCTCCCTACTCTCTAGCTAAGGGCTCTATTCACAGCGGGGGGATAGTGGTTGTCCTGGCGGAGTCCTGACGGAGTCCTGACAGAGTCCTGACGGAGTCCTGACAGAGTCCTGACAGAGTCCTGACGGAGTCCTGACAGAGTCCTGACGGCCTATTTTGGAGTTTTTCAACTTTGAGGTATTGTAACTATGTGAAGGCACTATGAATGCATCAGTTCTTTGGGAGAGTGCAATCCATTTAGTTATTACCTCCAACTCAAAAAAAGTCTGGTGGCAAACGGACAATGGGGCGACCTCCACGACCTCCACGACCGCCGAAAAGCACGACCGCCGAAAAGTTCGCCCACTCGCTCTGCCCCAAACCTAAATCGTCTCTCTTTGCACATACATACATTAATTAAAAGGGAGGGTCGGCCGTCAGAAAACACGCCTCCGTGGCTCGGGTTACACCAATCCTCGCTACCCAACGCGGCCAAAGGATATCCACCTCGAGAAGCCTAAAAATGGCTACAAATACAGCCACAGCAGCTGCTAGTCGTGAGCTGCTACTGTGTGGCAGAGCCCAGAGAGAGGGCTTTCAGGAGCACTATTCAGTTTGATCCAGCTCAACGTTGCGGAGTAGTAACACTATTCCGTTTACCGCGTAAGCGGCCGGCGGCCGGCGGCGGCCGGTGCGGCACGCGGAGCACTCCGTGAGCGGTGACGGGTGCGAACGAGCGAATGAGAGGTCCCTTTCAGCGAGAGATAGGCAGTCCTAGTCTCTAATAACACATCTCCCACAGACAGCGACCTCTCATTCGCTCATCCGCGCCCGTCACACTGCTAGTCGCGGGGTAATCCCCCGCCAAAAAGGGAAATAAAAGAATTTTCCTCAAATGGCACGGCCCTGGGCACGGGACTGGCGCGCACTGGCACTAACACAGGTACACCATTCGAAAGAAGAATTCGATGTAGGCAGCTTCCTTTCCTTGAAATATCCCACTGTGTAGTGCGGAGCCCGCGCGGAGAGGTGTGCGCGTCCGCTGGCCCCCCTCCAATAATTTTCTGTTCTCCTTTCCGACGCCCGAGGGACGCGCCCGCCCGCTATACGCGCTAGGATTCCTAAACATGTGGGGTTATTGGCAATTGGGAGACGGCTAACGTAGCAGCCACCACACTCTCCAATGTGCAATGTGGTGCGAGAGCTAATCCTGAGCAACAATAAGCGACTGTACCACGGAGCACAGAGCGCAGCAGACAGGACGGCGGCGACGGCGGACATGGCAGAGACGAGTGTGAGACAAAGGGCGGCGGGGATGGAGGGCGGGAGCGACGGGGATGGTGACGGTGACGGTGGCGGGAGAGGAAGGGGGTCCATTAACACCAGACAGCGAGAGGGGCAGGGAGGAAAGGGGGAGAGAGGAAGCCAACGGCGATGCCACCAGCAGCGCAGGGGACGCGCACAGAGGATGAGGATATAAACTGGGACGACGCAGCGGAGGGGATAGACGAGGGAATCGAGGGACCGGAGGGCTTTCGCGACAGCGACGATGACGACGAAGGCAGGGGAGGAGACGGAGGGGCGACACGCAGGAGGAGCGAAATCGCGAACGGCCCGAGCAGAGAGGGCGACGGCGGAGCACGAGGGGGCAACGGTAACGCTACTAATGACGCGAACCGAGGCACGGGCGACGGCGGGGACGGGGAGGGCGACAGCGACGTCGAGGTTGACGCAACGGTATCGAGAGCGCCACCCAAAAGGCGAGGCGGACAGCCATGGAGGTCACCGAATTTGGAGGGCAAACGGCACGATACGAAAAGGCAGGGCGAGGCGGATGGAGAAAGAAGTGCCGAGGAGGCCATGGTGGAGGGGAGGGACGGGAGGACGAAAGAAGGGCGAGGAGGGCGAGCGGCCCGAACAGGCCGCGAGTAGACAGCGCCTGCTGGCCATTTCGAGACATTCGCAAAGAACGCTAGCTACATGGGAGGGCTTCGTGAAGGATGGATTGAAAAACATTCGAACAAAGAAGAGGCGACGGGAGGAACCGGCAGAGGATGCAGTGACGTGACACACACACACACACACACACACACACACACACACACACACACACACACACACACACACACACACACACACACCGCTCACCCAGCGCGCACCGGGCCTTGCACTTTGAATGCCGTGGGGCTCCTGTCGTTAGACGTGGCGAGACGCGAGGCGGTTGCCGACTGCCCCCTTTGCCCCACCACCTCGTGTGTGTGGAGAAGTTTACCTTACCTTACCTGCAATGTGTGGTGGTGTGGCGTGCCGTTCCCATCGTGGTCCCCCAAGTCTTCCACCCTGACGCTACCGCCCCCTCCCGCCGCCGCTCCCCCGGCTCGGCCGCCCCGCTCCCGGCCGCCCCGCGCCTCCCCCCTGCTCGCTCTCGTACGCCAGGTCGGCGCGGGCCGCGAGGAGCGCCTCGCTCGCGGCGTACAGCTCGAGGGCGCGCCCCATCCACCTCCGCCCCTCCTCCTCCGTCTCCGCTACCTCGCTCGCCGCCGAGCACCCCTCCGCCAGCGCGGCCAGCACCTTGAGGTTGGCGGGCGGCGTCTGGCCCCGCCGCCGCGCCTCCGAAAAGACGCGGAACGCGCCCTCTGGCCGCCCCGCCCGCAAATAGTGCCGGATGAGCGAGTTGCGGGTCAGCGCGTCGACCTCGAGGCTGCCGCCGCCCTCTCCTCCTCCCCTTTCGCCTCCGCCCTCCCCCTCCCCGCCGCCCCCTCCCCCGGCCGCCGCCTCGTACAGGTCGAGCGCCGTGTGGATGGCGCCTCCTCGCTCGCACGCGTCGAGCAGCAGCTTGACGGTCACCTAGTGAGGAGGCAAGCCGGCCCATGAATCCGCCAGCAACTAGGCGGGCGAGGAGCGGCTTTGCGCGTGGCCGAGTCTGGCAGCGGCCCGCCCGGCGAGCGGCACGCCTGGCGGGGGCATGTCGCGGACGTGTCGGGGACATGCACATGCACAGGACATGTCGAGGCCGAGCTAGCCCTTGGCCCGCCTCGTACTGCCGCACCGCCTCCGCCGCGTCGCCAACCTCGCGGCAGCCGAGCAGCATCGCGTTGACTCGCTCGGTGTAGAGGGGGACGCCCGCCTCGTCCGCCCGCCGCTGCAGCGCCGCGAGCGTCGCGAGGTCTCCGCGCCGCGCAAAGGCGTTCATCAGCGCGGTGAGGGCGGGGCGGGCCTGCGGTGCGTGTCGTGGACGTGTCGTGGACGCGCCCTCCGACACGGTGCCTCGGCGAGGGTCGTGCCGCGCCTGGCCGCGGCCGGGGGAGGCGAGGTCGGAGGCGAGGTGCCGCTCGAAGGCCTGCGGAGAGAGAGAGAGAGAGAGAGAGAGAGAAGAGGGTCGTCGCTCGCTCAGTCCCCCGGCGAGGTCGGGCGGGGGAAGCGCTGCTGCAGGGCCTGCAGCGCCCGCTCCGGCTCGGAGGCACGCGCGCAGGCAGCCACGTAGAAGCGAGCCACCTGGAGAGAGATGGGCCGAGGTTGCGCGAGGCTGCGCGAGATCACGCCCGGTGGCAGCCGGCCACGCCTTTGGAGAGAGAGGCGTGCCCGCGGAGGCGGCGGCGGCGCACGCGCCCTCGTACGCGGCGCGCGCGTCGTCGAAGCGGCCGGCGTTGGCCGCCGCCTACTCTGGTTCCATAGCGGCTCATCTCGGGTCGGCCTCGGAGCGGCCCTGCGCTTGCCGCCGCCTGCAGCAGCACGCAGAGCTGCCACTCGCAGAGGGGGTCGTCCTCGCCCGCCGCCCTCATGTCCGCCTCGATCCGGCCTGCGGTCAGGGGCCAGGGGTTCAGGGTCAGGGGCCAGGGTCGGGGGTCAGCCTCGCGCGCCGCCTCGATCCGGCGCCTGCGCGAGCGGCCAGCGGCGCGACGCCAATCGAGCCGACGGCGTGGAGAAAGGCGGTGTACTCGGGCTTGGCGAGGGAGGCCGAGCCCGCCGCGTCGAGCCGGGTGTACAGCCGCCACGCCAGGTCGCTCTGCTTGTTCTGCGGGCCGCGGGCAGGGGGGTTCGGTGCGGGCAGGGGAGGGTTGAGAGCTGGAAGGCACGGCTGGGCGGGTGGCGGGAGCGGCGGAGCCGAGCGGTCGCGGAGCGGTGCGAGCGGATTTGGAGCGGGAGGTGCGGCGACTGGCAAGGCGGCGACGCATCCGGCGGGGCCGCCGCTCGAACGGGCGGCAGGGAGCTAGGCGGTGGCTGTGCATGCACCTCTGCGAGCCGCTCGAGGCAGTCGGCCAGCCCGGTCCGGGCGGCGGGCGAGGCGGGCGACGAGGCGAGGCGCTGCAGCACGCGCACAGCCTCGTCGTTCGTCACGGGAGGGCGGCTGCGGCGGCGAGTGGCGAGCGAGCGGGACAAGCAGGGAGGCGCAGCGAAGCGCGTGGCGCGAGGCAGCGTGAGCAACATGGAAATTCCACACGTTGGTTTGTTATCTGAGAGCGCCTTCGTTGTTAAGGTGGCAGTCCGGGTTCTGTGAAGAGGGTCGCTCGTCGAATGCGAGCCAGTTCGCTCGCGACGCCGACGCCGACGCCGCCGCCGGAACGACCGCGGCGGCCGGTCGAGCGGCCGCCCCGGCCAGCGGCCGTATCGAGCCTGCCCGTCGCGAAGGTGCGGCCCTCACGCGCCCCACCGGCCGCCCGCGCCGCCGCGCCCACGTCGCTCTCTCGAAGCCCAGCGCCACGCCGCTACGACTCCCATCGCGACGACTCCCGTGCTCGCTCGTGGCGCAGGCGATCGACTCCTGACACCCATCGAGCGGATGGGCGCGTTCCCGCAGCGACCCGGTACTCTCGAACGACTTTTGAGGGCAAAAGGTGCCGCCCGAGCCCATTCCCGCCGCCCGCCGCCCGAGATCAGCTGCCACCGGCCAGCGCGCGCGCGGAGACCTGCCGCGAGCGCCTCCGTGGCCCTAGCTGGGGTGATTAGCAAGCGCCTCGGCACTTTAGATTCGCCCCTCGGGCTTTTCCGCGCGCGTGATCAGTCTCGCGTTCTCTCCTTTTTCAGGCGCCTGTTTTCGGCCTCTGAAGAGCAACCGTCGAGGCGTCGATGCTCGCCTCCACGACCGCGCCAGACCTCCGCGATTGGGGCGCCTTGTCGACGGGATCAATTGTTATTCCGAACACATTTTTCTGGCATTTTACTCGCACGTCGGCGACTCTTAGTCGCTTCTCCGTGCTACGAGGCCTCTGTTTTGTGTCCGCGAGGACTAGATCGAAACTAACATTTCGGCACATTTCAGTTAAATGCCAGAAAAATGCGCATTCACTCACAATTCATGTGTATATGAACGGTGCCGACGGGTTTGGCGAGCATCGAAGCCGTCCAGGCGCAGCAACGCGACGGATTCGGAGGCCGAGGGCTCCGAAAGAGCCTCCCGAGCGAGGCCGGCGCGGTCACGGTGCCGTGGCGGCCACCGACGTCGCCGGAGCGGCACTCCCGGGGCGCCACTCCCTCACCCGGTCAGGGGGGGCCAACCACAGCCCGCCTCACCGTCCGTGGAGCCTCTGTGGTCCGCCGGTCCGGCTTCGACTTTCGACCCTCCGGGGGCTGCGCGGAGCAGCCCCGCGGAGCCTCCCGGATGCACCAGCACACCGTCGTCCAGAACGCCGGCGCACGCGCTGCCCAGTGACTGGGCGGGTCGGCCCCGACTAGGGGCGGGCCCAGCCGCGCGGAGAAGACCATCCCACTCGCGGTTCGTCGCACCGTCCGCTCCGGTTTTCGTCTCGAGCGGGTCGTGAGACGGCCGCGAGAGCGAGCACCGCGGTCACGGTACCGTGGAGGCCACAGACGTCGCCGGAGCGGCACTCCCGGGGCGCCACTCCCTCACCCGGTCAGGGGGGGCCAACCACAGCCCGCCTCACCGTCCGTGGAGCTTCCGTGGTCCGCCGCTCCGGCTTCGATTTTCGACCCTCCCGAGGCTGCTAGAGCAGCCCCGCGGAGCCTCCCGGATGCACCAGCACACCGTCGTCCAGAACGCCGGCGCACGCGCTGCCCAGTGACTGGGCGGGTCGGCCCCGACTAGGGGCGGGCCCAGCCGCGCGGAGAAGGCCAGCGAGCTCGAAACACGTCGCCGCGGCCGGCCGTTTCGCAAGCCTGAGCGGGTCGCCAGACACCCGCGAGAGCCAGCAGCTAGAGCGCCGTCGTAGCCGCAGATCGAGTCGAGGAGCTTGATGTCCACGGTAGCAGTTGTGGAGAGCGGTGGCACGGTGCGTGTAGACGCGTCGATTGAGGGCTCCCTTTCGAAACGCGACGGGTACGGCATGACAACTGCCAGTACAGTTTTACGCCGGCCAGCGTGAGAGCACAACAGGGAGCCGGCGACCCGTACGCTTTGCGCGTGGCGACTGGTGGCTGTCTGGAGCTCGTGTGAGCTGGGCCGACGCGTGGCCGAGCCGAGAGGACCAGCGAGCGACCACGTTGGCGATGAAGCTTGGCGGCCGGCGCCTCGTCGCCAGACGTCACAGCGGCGTGGACGTAGGAGTGTGCGGCGACGGTTACCGGCAAATCCGGCCCAGTGTGGCCGGCAGCTGCCTAGCGCTGGCCTGTGGCCGGCGCCGCGGTGGCGGATAAGGCGTCTCGCCGCCGTGGCGGCGGTCGGCAGGTGCGAGCGTGATGCCATCTTGCGAGACGACACCCGTCTCGCAAAACCCGGACTGCCACCTTAAGCTTAGCCTTCGATGTTATGAAAACAAACGCAAGGCGGACATGGCATATCGCTCTCGGGCTCACGGACATCCCTCACACCCGCCGCACACCCGCCGCCCCCGCGCGCGCCCCACCCCGGCCGGGAGAAAGGGGAGTGACAGTTTGGGATTGCAAGCCCGAGTATGTTGAGTCCTGGCTCAACAACGCAGATAACAAGAGGGGGTGGTCCGGCTCACAGGTCCGGCTCACGCGCCTCGAGCTCGCCAATCTACCGCACTGAACACTTCCGCCCCCTCGCTCCCAACCCACCCACCTCGCCGACCGCAGAACCGCGCGATCTCGGGCGATCTCGGGCCCTTAGAGCGCCTTCGTTGTTGAGCACTTGAGCACTGGATAAACGTTTTTCGGTTATTACAACTGTACAATCATTCCGCAATATATGCGGAGGGGAGGGAGTTGGAATGCACAGATGGGGATGGCGAAGGCGGAGGGCGGAAGGCGGGAGGGCGGCGGTTCGGGGAAGGAGTAATTGGCGGGTGATTTTCTTTTGCCACGGGCAGGGCGGAGGCGCGCACCATCAAAAGCGGGGTGGTCCAACGGCGTCTCTTAGCCCAAGAAAGAAAGAAAGAAAGCCGACAATCCAAGGTTAGCCCCGTGTGCTGCATCCAAAATACCACGTTCGGATCGCTCCTCATCGCAAACCCTGTCAGCAGTTCACCTACGGGTATGTTCGTAACAATAAATGGTCCTTCTTATTTGCCTCGTCAGGATGACGACCTCTTGCTCGAGCTGGCTGCTTGCCCTGGCCTCGCTCGCCACTGTCTCCGCCCTGCAGCCGATCCTTCGGCTGCCGCACGCCCCTGCCGCGACGCGCGCGCGTCCCGCTTTGCTCCGCGACGAGGCCGACGACGTCAGCGTCGTCGTCAAGCCGCCCGAGCCCGAGACCAAAATTGCAATCCGCGTCAAGAAGCCGGGCGAAGGAGCGGCGCCGGCGGCGCCGGAAATCGTTGCCGACGGTGCGCGCTCTCCGTCCGCGGCCGCGACCACGCCTGCTATTCCCGACCCGCGCCGCCGCCGCGCCGCCCGCAGATGCGACCGTGTCCATCAAGGTGAACGCGGTGAAGAAGCCTGCTGCGCCTGCGCCGGAGCCCGCCGGCCCGCCGATACCGAAGCGCTCGCCCGAGGAGGAGGCGCTCTTCGAGGCGACGCAGAACGCCAACTGTGCGCGCCGCCCGCATTGCCGACCGCCTCCGCCCGCCGCCACCCGCTCTCTGCCCATTTCGCCCGCCACGCCCGCCCGGCCTCTCCCCACGCGCCGGTGTCTGCGTGGCTGTGCGCAGGCACGCAGCTGCTGGACGCGCTCCTCGCCGGAGCGAACCCGAACCTCCGCGACCCCAACGGGCGGACCGGCCTCCACTTCATGTGCGGCATCGGCCTCGCCCCCGCTTGCGTGCTGCTCATCCACTTTGGGGCCGACGTCGACGCGAGGGACAACGCGGGCCTCGCGCCGGTGAAATAGATACATAGATACACACATATCGACGCGAGGGACAACGCGGGCCTCGCGCCGGTGAGTGCAGGGGCAGCCTGAATTACACAGGGCGAACCTCGCGCCGGCGAGTGTGTTAGGGTTCGGGTTCGGGGTGTGAGTGTGCCTCTGCAGGGCGGACGGGGCAGGTGGCGGCAGGTGGCGGCAGGTGGCGGCAGGTGGTGGCAGGTGGTCCGAAAGGGTAGATGGTCCACTCGGAGCCCCCGCCCTCCGCAGGTGCACATGGCGGCGGGCTACGCCAACGCGCAGTGCTTGCGCGTCCTCATCGCGGCCGGAGCAGACCACACAGCGGTCGGGGACCAGGGCGCCTCGTGCGTGAGGGGAGGAGGCTAGGAGCGAGTCGCCGAGTCACCGGCGGAGTGGTGCTCTTGTCTAGGCACGCCTCTCGACGTGGTGGAGCGGCTCGGTGCGAGCTCGAGACAGTGCCGAGACGCCTCGCAGACTCCTCCCCCCGGGGCAGCACACACCTCCCGGAGACCCCCCTCCCGGTAGACAGTGTCCCGGCAGACCCCTCCTGGCCTCCTGCTCGACCGCGGGAGAGGGACCCTGACCCTGACCACCGACCCTGACCCTGACCCTATCCCTGACCCTGACCCTGACCCTGACCCTGACCCTGACCACCGACCCTGACCCTGACCCTGACCCTGACCACTGACCCTGACCCTGACCCTGACCCTGACCCTGACCACCGACCCTGACCCTGACCCTGACCACTGACCCTGACCCTGACCCTGACCACCGACCCTGACCCTGACCCTGACCACCGACCCTGACCCTGACCCTGACCCTGACCCTAACCCTGACCACTGACCCTGACCCTGACCCTGACCCTGACCACCGACCCTGACCCTGACCCTGACCACCGACCCTGACCCTGACCCTGACCACCGACCCTGACCCTGACCCTGACCCTGACCCTGACCCTGACCCTGACCCTGACCCTGACCCTGACCCTGACCACCGACCCCGCAGGCGAGTACCAGCTCGACCAGTTCCTGGAGCGGAGCGGCGTGGAGAAGTTCACAAAGAAGAAGGACGAGAAGCTCGAGAAGCTCAAGGTGTGCGCCGAGGCGCTCCTCGACCCGGACAAGGCGAGATGACCCGAGATTACCCGAGAGTACCCGAGATTACCCGAGGCGCTCCTCGACCCGGACAAGGCGAGATGACCCGAGATTACCCGAGATTACCCGAGATTTCCCGAGGCGCTGCTCGACACGGACAAGGCGAGGGGCAGCCGGGGGGCAGCCGAGATCGCAACCGCCTCGGATCGCCCCGAGCTCAGCGGTGGCTCCGCCGTGGGCAGGTGCGGGAGGAGGAGGCGTGGGACGACCTCATCGCAGACGTGCTCAAGCTGTGCGCGGTCTAGGGGACAAAGCGGCGCGAGGGAGGGAGCGGAAGCCTCGCCGAGACCGCAGGCTTTGCTATCCCGCAGGCTGCGGGGCGGGGCGCCTCCGCCCTTTCTCTCGACCTCTCTCTCTCTCTTGTGCATTGTTGACCTCTCCGCTAGACGCCCCCTCTCTCCCTCTCCCTCTCCCTCTCTGCCTCTCTGCCTCTCGCCCTCGAGTCACATTGCGTCGACCCCTGCCCTGCCGCGGTCTTCATGCCGCGTCGCTTCTATGTATGTGTTCGCGAATCTCCGATCGCCGCCTCGCGCCTGTCTCGATCGCGTCTCGCCTTTCGGCGGAGACACGGCGCTCGCCGCGAGCGCGACCCAAAATTCACACGACACGCGAGTGGCAAGTATGGCCCCCATAAACGAAGCCGTAGCGCGACTGAAAGCCGCCGAAAATGGAAAAAGTCGCGCACACGGCGAGTCACTGTGGTGGCTGGTGCTAGTGTGTGCAAGTTGAGACTTCTGATACCACTGTCCGCTGCGCAGTGCGCTATCCGAGAGTCAGAGGCGCGACGTAGCTGCTCGGCACGGCCGCGGGCGAAGCGCCGGAAGGGAGAGGAGAGGACGGGCAGCGCGAAGAGCCAGAGGGCTCCAGCCGCAGCGCGGCGTCCCGCTTCCGGCGCGCAGTCGCGGCTGCGTCGCCCTCGCTCAGGCGTCTGAGCGCGCGCCCGCGTCGAGGAAGGCGTAGCCGTCGCTCTCGAGCTCGAGGGCGAGCTCCGGCCCGCCTACACCTCGGACCACCTCGGCTCATCTCGCGCCATCTGCATCTTGGGCTTGGTGAAACGTGGGTTGGCTCCGGCCCGCTGTGGCGCGTCGTCCTCGGGTCATCTCGGGTCATCTCGGGCCATCTCGGGCCATCTCGGCTCCTCTCGGCTCCTCTCGGCTAGTCTGGCGCCCGAGCGGACGAT